ATATATATATATATATATATACACACACACACACATATTATTATTATGGGTTATAAAATAAATAGCCATCCATAAGACTAAAAAAGTGGACATTCATTTTCCTAAGCAACAGGCTTGTGTTGTAACCTTAACTAAAATTGAGACTTTGGAGACAAAACAGGATATACTGTTGACTGATTGCGAACCAAAAAATTATTTTAAAATATATTTTTCATGGAAGAACGTCATACAAACGAATGACTCATCAACTTTTCTTTTCAAATACCTAGAAACTCTTCCGGACCACAACACGCCACAAAATTCGTTAAATTAGTCACCTTTGCAAAAGAAAGCGTTTCCAGCTCTGTATTACAGGCACGGCGAAGAGGGGAAAATACTAAACGACAGCATTACGAACGTTAGCTAACTCAAACTGCATTTTATAGCGAAAAGAAATTAGATTGGCGAAATAGTGTTTAGATTGGAACACCCGCTGAAAAGCTCTCTACTTTAGAGCTACAAAGTTCTATCTGACATTTTTGGCCGTTTTGAGTTACTAAGACCATGAGGCCTGAAACCAGATTAAATGTTCTGTCTGCTTTATCAAAATCGTAAGATTGTTCGGATTCATTATCAAGATATTCAAAGAATTGAGTTTTCAAAAAGCCTGACAAGCTGTAAAACTCAAAAATCTTTGACGTCAAATTTCTCAAAACCAGAAGCTGAGCAGATAGACCTTTGTAATTTTAGGGTAGCGAGAGAGCTGTACAAGAGAAATTACACCCTACATGGTTGTGAAGCGAAGCTCTCAACAAAAGCGAAACTAATTGGAGAACGTTGCACATGTTTCAAATTGCTACACCAAATTAATGTCGTGCACTTTAGTGTAGGATCTTTAGCTACACCCACTACCCACCCAATAGCAGACCGAGTACAATAAATATTGCATAATTCCATATCGATAAGATAAATGTTTCAATTCTGCTGTTGGAAATGATAGAAAGATCCTCATCTAAAGATGTACAGATTTGGGATAGCCGTTTATATTTTTTGAGGACGAAATAATAGTTGTTAAAGACGAACATCTGAGGAATGATTTTTCAAATCATTCAATATGTTTGGTACAAATCATTGGCTGCAAAGTGTAAAGGAAACGGCTTTGTGCACCGACAAGAGTGAGAGGTAAAGAAAGAGAGAAAGGGATAGCTTAGGGTATGAATATTTCTGTGCAACGTTTCATTAGTTTTGTGATGGTTAAAAAACATTATAAATGTCTATGCAAACAGAAATGCATAATATAAAAGCAATATAATAAAAACCACGCATTAACCCAATCCAGGTCCAGTGCCATAGGAAGAAACACTTTCAACACAACACAGCAAATTGCAACATTCATCCTAACCAAGGTACAATCACTGAGGTCTCCGTTACATCATAAAGGCCACTAGATTAGTACATGCAATCTTATGGTTACTTCATTACAAATACATTTTATCAGGTGGCAAAAAAATCAAACACAACGAAGGCGCATGCCTGAAAAGTAGGGTATGTATTGTCATTGCATACAGTTAAAAAAAAACACAACAAAAACAAACAAACCAACAAACCATTATTAAAAAAGACCATAAAAACAGCAACAATAAGAACCACTATAAAATTAATGCAAAGGAAAAAACCCAACGATATTTAAAATCACAAAAAGAACATTAAAAAAAGTATAAATATTAATTTTTTTTTAAAATGGCGTTAACTGCTCATCAAGAATGCTCAATAACATTACCCCGGGTCTGACGAGGGTTAACTTCTGCAAAAAGTAGGGTGGGTCACAGCTTAATTAAGAAACAGGACATGTTGATAGATGGGTCAATACACTTTTCCAGACAACTATAATATTCAAAAGATGGGAAGTACGATTTTAGGAGCATCCCCAGTAAAACGTAAAACCTAGCCAAGTAGATGGAGAGACTGTAAAAATCCTCACACCTTCCATCCCCAAAAGTGATGATTCGAACTCGCCCCCCCCCCCCCAAAAAAAAAAAAACACCAAAAAAACCGAATACATAAATAATATACCTGAATTGAAAGTAAGTAGCCTACACGAACACATAAAAAACAACGAATATTACAGATGCTAAAGACCACACGATAGAAAACATGTGTGGCAGATTCCCCAAACTTAGACTCCAACAAAAATGGAAATGGGCCGGTCACATTGGTAGAATGTAAAATCTCAGAAGGACAAAATGATGCAATGAATAGAGACCAAGAATAGGAAAAGGATCATGAGGAAGACCAGAAAGACGATGGCAAGATCACATCAGAGACCGAATGGGAACAACCTGGATACAGACAGCAGCAGAGAGAACAGATTGAAGACCCCAGCTGGAGGGCAAAACTGTGCGGTGGACGAACAACGCCTAGACAGAAAAGGAAAGAAAGACCATACAAAGAGCAAGAGACGAAAAGACGCTTCACGTGCAGACATAGAAACGCACACGAAGACAGACACATACATACATATACCCACACACACCCCCCCCCACACACACACACTCATATACACGCACAAATACAATGTATGCATGCACATCATAGAAAATGACACATTTAAAGGTTCATTTCCTGTGCAAAACAGTATCAGTTTCTTTGATCCCTAAAAAAAATAATTTTAATGACACGGTTCCACCGTATTCAAAGAATCATCGATGAAAGCTTCAAAGAATTTGAACAAAAGGTGTAAAGACAGGAAATATTGATCAGTCACATTCGACGGGGTGGGCGCAAGCACACTGTAAACAAAAAGCTATCCACCGGAGTATTCATTATTGTTTGATTTTCAACTTTTAGAGAAAGAGAAAGGCAAGAGATGACTCTGATCAGTAAGATCCAGTATTGGCAAAGTTCGTTCGTCAATGTCGGCGAATCAATACATTCACTGAAATTTAAATAACTGTTAATTTGGCCATAAAACTAAAGAAACCTATTCGTTCCTTGTCTCAAATAATGGAAAATCGATTTCGAATCCACCGAGGAAAGGCAGAGACAGTATCCCAAGCAGAGTCAGAGAAATAATGGTTTCTTTGCTATGTTTCAAGTTGCACGTTTTACACAATGACACCTAGAAACGTACGAAGACACTTTCTTAAAACTCAATCATCATCATCATCATCATCATCATCATCATCATCATCATCATCATCCAGTGCCTTGCCGACTGGCGTAGGCGATCATGGACCTCCACTTCTCTGTCTTGCATTGCAGCGATGGTGTCTGTTGTTTTAAAACTTCATATTACACCTAATTGGCTCTGATAATATTTCTGGCTTATAATGTTTAAGCAGTTCATTTCGCTCATAGTGGCGAGTTAACAATTTTGGTGGCCATTATTTATGAGCCTACATCAACGAATAAACTCTTTGGCCACCATCTAGAACTTTCATACCATCGCCATTTTCACTTTTGCTTAATAAGCACAGATGATTGAAAACGATAATACGGAAAAGATGTGTGTGAGTGTGTGTGTGTGTGTGTGTGTGTGTGTGTGTGTGTGTGTGTGTGTGTGTG